CTTGATAATTTAAAAATTATTTTTTTTTTATCTTACACTGACCACTCTCTCCCTTCACCCAGGTTTCTGTTGTTTGTCCTTCTTGGGGGGCGGGGGGGGGGTTATACATCAATCATTATGATCGGTTCCTCCTTTCTCCCCCTTCTCCCTTCTCTCATTACTGTTCCTGAGGGGTTTATCTGTCCTGTTTTCCGTGTGTCCAGTGCTCTTCTTCTAGCCAGATTTGTAAGGTAGAACTGGGGTGCAGGGGGTATTGGTGAGGAAGCATTAAAGAACTAGAAGAATGTTATATGCTTCCTCAGTGCTATACTGCACCCTGGTTGGCTCATCCATTCCTTATTAAGGGGACGTCCAATTGTCTACAGATGGGTGTTGGGTCTCCAATCCACCCACCCACGTTTGTATTGATATGATTGTTTGTTCTGCGTCTTCTGACCCTGTCGACACCTCATGATCACACAGGCTGGTGTACTTCTTCCATGTGGACACAGAAGAAGCTCTCTAACCTGGATCATAGGAGTGTGGAGGGTGGGGAGCCAGTTTATCTGGTAAAAAGTACCAGGGTCACTTTCCTGGCACAAGTGGGCCCTCACGCGCACATCAGAACGCTCACCCTTGACTCAGCTGCTGCTGGAGCATGCCCAGCTTCCAGCCAATGCGGCGGACACGTGCCAAAGACCTGTGAGAGCCACGACCTTCTGTGGTTATTTCCTGAAGCATCCTCCCCACTTTACAAAGTGAAGTCACCGCAGGGCTTTTTACCTGGACCACATGAGCTCAGCTATCCACAGACATACTTTCCCGAGCTGAGATCCATTAGGCCACCCTCAACTCCTTTTGAAGATCGACAGAGGGGACCACCTTTAATGGAACATTAGCCGCTTCCCTCAAAATGGGCGGGGGGTTGGGGGCTAGGCAATGGAAGGCGTTTTCCATTATGACTGCCAGTGGTCCTTACGTCAATATTCTTCTTGGAATTCGGGCTCACAACACATGTAATATGCCTTTGGGTAAAGCCATAGGCCAACTTTGCCTACAACAATCGCCCGCCTCACGCGGTTTCCCTTTGTGCCCTAGTTTGCAGGAAGCTCGTGACTAAATTTAGTGCTCAATTGTAGCCACTCTCACACAATTCCGCACACACATATCTCTTTCCGCCTTCAAGAGAGCTCCCCGCCCGTCTGTTGTTTCATTCACTGCCCCCACCCGCATCCTGTGCCCCACTGATCAAATGTTCGTGACAGAAAGTGTGGCAAGTAGAGAGAGATGGAAAACAGAAGAGAAACAAGTGTCAGAAGATTCCCGAGCCCTCTTATGAATCTGCTTTGGATGTCTGGTCCTACACCTGCCTCCACACTGCCAGCCATGTGCTCCCTCTCTGAAAGCAGCATCCCTGCTGCCCCAGCCAAGAAGAGGTGGGGCTTGTGTTTCTGGGTAGCAGGCTGCCGAGGGAGAGGAGGCACAGAGCACAAAGGCAGATTGTGATTGGAATAACAGATGCCGAAACCAGAAAGGGTCTCTAAGCTCATCTGGCCTAATCCCTTCATATTACAATCAAGGCCCTTGTTTCCTAGCACCTGGCTCCCCACCCCGGCTCTCACCAAGTGGGAAGCATTACTAACATGACTGGTCTAAAGGCCAGGACCTGCTCGGGGTCACATGCACTATTAGACAGAGGGGCCGGGTGTCAAATGCACAGACCCACACTGCCCTTCCACATTGCTGGCTGGCTGGGTCAGAGCGATGCTGGGTCTGCCTTTGGCAAGTCCTGGCAGCTCTCTCTCAGCACCCCTGCCCGTATGACTAGTGGGTAGTAACAGCTTCAGGTTCAGCTTTAAGGGGAGGCTGGAGGGAGACTCAGAGTCCCTGGGTGAAGCAAGTGATGAAGCACAAACTGAAAGGCTGGAGGTTCAAGACCGCCCAGAGAGCCCTTAGAAGAAAGTCCAGGCCATTTAGCCAGTCACAACTCTACGGCGTCCAAGTCTCCTCTGACAACCATGGAGTTGCCGTGAGGCAGAGTCACTTGATGGCTGGCCACTGGCTTGCTTCTAGCCGGCCACCAACGCTCTGTGTGGGGGTCCGCAGGCACTAGCCCAGCTTAACAATGAGGCACAACTTCAGTGTGGCTTCAGTTTCCAGTGCATGGCACCCCTGGGACCCCAGAGGGAGGGAGGCTCCTGGATCTCCCATGTACACTCTTCCCACACTGCTCAAGACCTTCCCCAATGTCTTCAGAGGGACGTGGGGCCCAACAGAGCTCAGAAACCCCAGGTCACAAAGAAGGAAGGACAGATGCTCACTGAGAGCATCCAAGAAGAATAGGCAACAGAGGAGTGCTCCCAAAATGTGGACTGCACACTTCTAAAAGGACAGGTGCCCAAAGAATCTGTTGGGTTTTGTTTTTTAAAAAACAATGGAAAAATAGAGGTGAGCACACTACAAAGCCAGTAAAATGGGAAACACACGGGCTGATTTTCAAGTACTCCACGAGTGGGCTGGCTTTAAAGGGTAAATATTAAATGGCCTTGGCCGGCATCGCTGTGCTGGTGTTGGGAGCTGTCGGGTCGGTTCCAGCTCCTAGCGACTCTGTGTGCAATAGCGCGAAACACTGTCCACCCTTGTCCGCCAGCGTATTGTGCTGTGGTGCCTGGTGCGTTGTTACAACAGGAGCTATGTCACTGTCTCTCAAATGCCGGCAGGGTCACCCAGAGTGAACGGGTTTCAGCAGAGCTCCCAGTCTAAGGGCAGACTACAAAGAAGGAAGAGGCTGCCCACTTCGGAGGAAGTAGGCACGGAGGACCTCGTAGATGGCACCACAGCGTAGCTGCCTGGAAAACGCTTCCTCCCGGTTTAGCAAAGTTGGTTGTCCAATCACTGAACCACAAAATGTTGGAACTGGAAAGGGTCGGGGCTCCTACCCGAGCCAGCCAATGCTTGTGGATAATCTTAACAAGCAAGCTCCTCACACCATGAGCCAAGAATTATATCCATATCCAGTCAGCAGGAAACAGTATACAGGGTGCGTAGAAGAGAAATTGGCTGGTTTAAAAATAGGCTTTACAGAAAAAGGCCCTCTGGGTTCAGCCTTGGCTTTCATGACATAAACCCGAATGCCTAGCCTTGCAAAGTACTTCTAAAAATCTCTGACCTATAAAAATTGGGAAACCGCAGTTTCTGAAATAACCTAACCTCTATTTTCCAATCATCTTTCCGACCCTCTCCGGCCTCTCCGGACAACACACCGAGGAAACCCGAAGCAGCACAGGCAGACGGAGTGAAAACTCAGGGCACAGAGGACACAGGCTTCCAGCATTCTCTTCGGCCCCTGGCTGCAGCTGTCCTGAGAAGGTATGTGGGTACATGCTAACCCCCACGACTTGCCCACGCTGTCTACCTTCTCCTGACGCACTCGTCCCTCGTGGTTGTTCTTAGGGGCCATCGAGTCGGTCCGGCTCCCGGCGCCCCTGCGTGCAGCTGAACCGAACACCGCCTGCCCCCGCCCTCCCGCCCCCCATCCTCACAGGGTTCCTCTGTTGGAGGTTGCGGTGGCAGCCGCTGGGTCAACCCATCTTGTCTTGGGCCTTCCTCTTTGCCGCTGCCCCTCCACTTTCCCGAGCACAATGTCCTTCCCCGGGGAATGCCCAAGAGAGACCCAAGGGGGCTTCCAAAAGTTCAAGGGAGAAAAGTCATTATCTTGTCACTTCGTACTCCCACAGATCTTTGGAAGCACCTTCACAGACCCAGCGTGCGTCCTCAAAAGGATTCCAACCTAGCTGGGCCGACAGGACACTAGCTAGCCAGTCTCAGGATCCACAGGGCCAAAGAAAAGTCTCATGGGCACGGAAGGCCTGAGCGGAGGCGGCAGTGGATTGACAGGGAGGGAGCAGAGCACGCCGCCGACGCCGGGAGTCACATCAAGCATCTGCATCGGGTGTCCTCACTGTCCCAGGAAAAGGTAGATCGTTCTTTGGAACCAAAGGAAACAATGTTGCAATAATGGGGACAATTAAAAAATCTAACTCTTAATCACATCATTAGCTAGCCCTGGGCTGGAATAAAATCAGCGTCGACTAAGGAAAACGGACTCGTGGCGATCCCTGTGTACAGAGCGGAGCTGTCCCCACAAGGCTTTCAGTGGAAGTGGGTGGCCAGGCCTTTCTTCTGAGATGCGTCCAGGCGGACTTCAAGCCCACCGTTTAGCAAGCAGCTGAGCTCATTCACTGCTGGCCTCACCCAGGCATCATTCCTGCCAAAGAATACGCGACAAGAGCGACCAGACTTTGTTGTGTGCGTATATATGTGGGTGCACGTTGCCGGGGTGGGGTAGTGGGGGGGTATGAAAATCAGAGGTAGAAAGACCTCCCGTCGTCACCACACCAACAATTGTTTTCCTCCTTCTTCAGTCGAAGAGCGTGTATTTTTAAGGTGAACTTCACTATCAGATTAAACAGTGCAGGTAGCACTTTTACCCCTCACGTTTGGCCTTCTTGTAATGACCAGCAAGGAGCCCTGGGGCCTAGTGGACATGAGTCGGCCATGATCCGCAGGGTCTGCAGTCTGAAACCACCAGCTGCTTCCTGGGAGAAAGCCGGGGCTTCCTATTCCTGTAAAGAGTGACAGTCTCGGGAACTCAGAGGCAGCTCTACCCTGTCCTGTAGGGTCGCTCTGAGTCAGCATCGACTGGATGGCAGGGAGTTGAGAATGGCCAACGACAAACACAAAACGCCGGTGCTGTCACTCCGACTCTCAGTGACCCCATGGGCCAGGGTGGAATGACCCCACACATCTTCACGGGAGCATAGTGCCACGTCTCTCTCACACAGATGGTCAACCGTCTGGTTAGCTGGCTGGCATCAGGGTGCCTACACTACTGTGCCACCAGGACCAGCACAATGACGGCCCCCGTTATGAGCATGCCGCTAGCTAGCTGCACACCCGCCTGATTCTTTCTATTTAGGATGGGTTCGTTCCGGGCATGAAGCTGGCATGGGTGAACTCACAAGCAGCCTGCTCCAAGGGAGGGCTGAAGGCTGGTGTCCTGGAGAAACCCGGCAAGGAGGGTTCTGGTTCCCGGGGGCGGCTCCCCCTGGCGGGCATGCCCCCTTCTCCCCTCTCCATGGCAGGATGAGAGGACTGGTTGAGCACGGAGGAGGCTGCCCCTGGGAGAGGCACAGTGGCTTCTTCTTCTTCTTTGGGGAGCCACTTTCGCCTGGCCAGCAAGCGCCGGGGGGTTCCACTCTCTGTTTGGGAAGAGGCGATCCTTTCTTCCGTCTCTTCTGACTCGGAGCTGCTACTGCTGGAGGACAGGGGAAGCCTGGCCACGGCTGAAAGCAGACAGTTAAAGTTCCAACAGTGGACCTGGGAATTGTTTAGCGGGCTCAGCCCTGAGCTCTACATAATGCGTCGACATGGGAAGAAATCAGGGGCCGTGATCCACTCTATGCAGCATCAACCCCTGGAAGAGAGATCCCAGACCAAGACATGGACTGCTTCTGGGTTTCATAAGCAAAGACTTTGCCTTACGTAGCACTTAATCAGATGGTCCAGGCAGTCCCTGGTGGCACAAAAGGTTAATGCTAGCCGTTGGAAGTTCGAGGCCACCTTCAGGCAGTGCGGGGGACAGGCCTGATGACCTACTTCCCCAGAGCTTTGAAACCCTATGGAGCACAGTTCTACCCTGCAGACGTGGGTCGCCCACCACCTTGAAGACAAAGAGCTACAACCGCATCAGATGCGATGGAATCAGAGATGAGATTCTGGTTGACCTGCTTTGTCACCCGTATTCCACAAAGTGAGTCCCGGGATTTGCTTGAAGTTAACACAAACAAAACCATTAAGTGCATGGCCAATGAAGCGGGCAGCACCGTGTGCTGCAATCATGAACTCTACACCCATCATTCCTAGATGGAACACAGGATACTTCCACAGGCCTTCTTTACAGAATTGAGTCCCGAACCAGACCTCCTGTCACCAGGGCACGGATCCCAGTCCCCGCTGATGCCTGCATCCTCTACTTTCACACCCTTAGCAAGGCCATCCAGTTTCCCTGTGAAGTCTCTTTACTTCCTCTCCATCCCTGTTGCCTTATTTCAACACCTGGGATCTGAGTGTGAGTTTGTACATCTTCCTGGGTGGTCTCCCTGAGTGGAAGTTCCCTCCCCACCTTTTGCGTAACTGCCAGGCAAGTCATCCCCCCAATGGCTTGAGTCAAGTCACTCCCTTGTTCAAAGGCCTTCCACGACCCTTCCCCTCCCATCACATCTACTTTAGGAATCAAATCTGGTTTCTAAAGGGCTTCACGGTTGTCCCTAACCCAACGCGGTGGTCTTTGCTCCTCTGCTCCGGGTGCAACTACACCTCCCCGAGAGGAGGCTACTGCCCCCCAAAGTGCCCACGCTTCTCTCTCTCTCCTCTGTCCTTCAGCCACACTGTTGGGATAGCTCACTCCTCAGACACCCTCCCCCTGGCTGTGACACGCAAGCCTAGACTCAAATCCCAATGGGAAACCTGTTGGCTGTTAGCTCTATCAGCAAATCTACACTCCCCCTCTGCTCAGTGCTTACAGCTCAATCAACTACAGCATGCCGCATGTGGAGGGCAAGCCACAGGTGTGGTCTTGTCCTTGGGTGGGCACAGTGGTTCATGATGCTGGGGGAGGGGGCAGGTGATGGAGAGCGTGACGGAAATGAACTCACCTGAGGTGCCCTTCGGACTATGCAGTGCTGTCGCTAGCTCAGAGGAGCCCCCAGCAGAGGAAACGGAAACGGTGTGGTCTAGTCTGCTTGGAGAAGCATACTGCCCCCCAGCATTCGCTGCTTCGGAATGGGGAGTCCACCTCTCTGCAGCATCCGAGGAAGCATGGTGCTTTCTGGGGACCGGAGTCATCACAGGCTCTTTGGAGGCCACTGTGGAGAAGTTTACGTGACCCTGCGAAAAGGTGATGTTTTCCAAGTGGGGCTCAGTGCTCCTCTCTGGGTGACGGCTCCTTACGGCAGCTGAAACAACAAGAGGACGGATTGGTGAGATTGTGCGGGCTTCAGAAAAGGAGAGTCAACCTTCTGCAGAGACACCACGAGTAGAGGGGTCAGTACCGAAAGGGATTCAAGTAAAATAACATCACCTTTCTTTAATTCCCCCATTCATCGTCCCTGCAGTGCACTGGAGAAAACCATGAAGCAGCAACATGGCACAAAATGGAATGTGGTAGCGAGCGCAATGCATGATGGCAATGAACAGAAAGAAGTTAACACTGGGCTCAAGGAAGGATACCGGACCCTCTGGGCTCAGGATACCCAGGGGCTCAGAAAGGGGAGGTCAGGAATGGGAGGTGGTGCCGGGGACGGAGGGGGAGTGGGCAGGAAAGCTCTTAGTGAAAGCCAAGATGGTGAATCACTGTGTCCTCTGAGGCGATAAGGCAGGAAACGCCAGCAACACCTACTCCTGACATGCATTCATGTAGTCAGCAGCGGGGCGTGCGCAACTTCTGGTAAAACATGTAAAAAAATCTGGCAATACTATTAAAACCTTAGGGATAAAAATATTTTTATTTATTTTTTAAAGTTTTATTGATGTGTAATTTACCTATCACACAATTAGATAGTTTACACATACTCAAAAGAGTTGTACATACATCACTACAATTTTAGAACATTTTCTTCTTTCTTGAACTGCTTTTCCTTAGCTTCCCTTTTCCCCACAACTTCCCCGCCATGATCCCAAGAAACTATTAATCCAATTACTGTCTCTACAGATTTACCTATCTCGGATTTCATATAAAGAAAAATAAAAGTGAAAAAATAAAAAAATTTTAAAACTTAAAAACCTCAGTTGGAGATAACAGAAATTGATGGAAATATTTTTTACCCTAAGGAAATATTCAAGAATGTGGGCAAAGATTTTTCTGCATGGATGTTCATTGCAGCAATGTTTACAATAGAAAAGAAAGAAAAAATTGCAGCCAGAGGCCTAAGGCAATATTTTGCATCAATGGGATTGTTTAGATAATGACAAAGCCCCGCCCAGTGTCTTGAGTGCTCAGAAGAGTCAAAGGTGAAGAGACTTGCCTAGGGGGCTGTTGTCAGATTAAAGAAAAGAGACACTCTGGCTCTTTGACTTTTGAACTAGTGGTTTGTGCCTGAGTTTGGAAAGTTTTGGAACATGGAAGGAACTCTCCACTCTAGGACTTAACTGTTAAAGGAAGCCTGTGGGCAGCCTGAAATGCCTGTGACCACATGGATGACAATGAAGGTGGCCACCTGGATCCATTGTTGAGTGGAAGTGAGAGAATGCAGCAATAAAAAGACAGGTTGAGTCTGGCCACTGACACCAGGGACTGCAGGAGAAGACGAGAGCAGGTCTGAAGTGCATGACCTAGCACAAGGGGGGTAGGGTTGTTGAGAATCTGTGATGGGGCCCATGGTCTAAAGGTAAGGCAGCCAATGGGCACCCTGATGAGGTTAAATGAGGCAGGCCACGTTGAGTTGACTAGAACCCAACCAGATGAAGAGAAGATTTTTGAGCCTGTGAACTAGTGCATGTTGCTGCTGCCTTTATGGATGGCCTGTCCTGATATGACTTTGCTTATGGATGCAGACTCAAAAGGTTCCAACTCAAATGAAGATTCATCACATTACAGAATATGATTGTCGCCTCAGATCACTGGGTTGATGTTAAGTGGGCAGTATCGAAATCGTATACCCCAAATGGGGAGGATAAAGGCATGAAGTGGCTGGCTTACAAACTTTCATAGGTGGAGGAATATATTCATAGGAGTATAGGATTAAGGTGGAGGTGTTACTTAACTGCAATTGTTAGGCATAGAATATTGTTGTGTTGTTCACTTATAGAATATTATGTTTAAATGAGACTTTGGAACATATTGAATTGTATGCATTTTACTTTTATCCTGTTAGGTACAGATATGATTTTATTATTGTTTTGTTTAAAATTATGTATAGCTGAAGAATTGTGTGAAAGTGTCAATTTGACAAGGGATGGTCTGTGGTAGTTACATAATCTCCTGTCAACTAGCAAAGGGGTGGGGTTTAGCCTGTCAATCAGGTCACGGTTGGATGACTTCATTTGGAGGCACTAAGGAGATAAATAGCTCATTGGAGGCCAGATATGCTCTCTGCCTCTCTCTTTGCAAGACATTCCTGTTGACAAGCCACATGGAGCTACACAGATGGAGCCAGAGTCCTGGAGCTGGAGCAGCCACGTGGAGACCCACTCCAGTGCTGAGATGTTTCCACCACTACTGGATCCACAAGACTGTCCACCCACTGGCCTGTAATCTTCCTGCGTCTGTGTCACTGCATGTGTTGCATTAGTCTGAAGAGGAATTAACAGACTGGTATTCGACATATGGGCTAATATTGGACTTATGGATTTGATCTGAATTGGGCTGGGATATTTTCTCAATATACAATTATTCTTTGATATAAAGTTCTCTATTACACACATATGAGTATCTCTGGATTTGTTTCTCTAGTCTACCCAGACTGACAATATGACATATAAGTATATCTTATATATAATTACACACTACATAATATATATTTTATTAGTCAATAGTAAAGGTATTATATATTATATAGGTTAATATATTATATATAGATAAAATTGGAGTTACACTCGATTCTATTCTGAAGACTGTTACTTTAGCTCATTATATATCTAATTATATATCAAATATTATATATATATTAGCAAATGCATATTGACTTTTTCCTATATATGTGCCAAACACTATTTAAAGCAAGTATGAGCCTAATTTGCATATCCTTGCACAAAGCGATCCTTGCACAAAGATGGGTGGTATCATTACCCCATTTTACAAATGAGGCCAAGGAGGCAGGAGAAGTCATGTACTGTGTCCAACCCACACAGTCAAAAAGCTAGAGCCAGGGCTCCACCAGGCAGCCTGCTCCAAGGCCAGCCTCTCCCCTCTCAGCCATGCTCAGCTGGAAGGATAAAGTGCTGGGGAAGAGTTTTAGGATGGATCCTCCTGTGGCCTCTCACTTCCAGTTTAAGGGTATTAGGGGAATGTCACATAAATGCAGTTTAAAAACCATGAATGTATTTATATTAGAAAATATGCTTCAATCATTCTTTTCGAGAATCCAACATACCCAAGACCTCAAAGAAGACATCAGTGCAAAATGTTCTGAGGTCGAAGCTCAAGTTGAGGGCTGAAAGAAGAAATTATCAGTAGGATTAAGCGCCATTTGCTAAAGCAAGGGGTTCGGAGTCAGAAGAGGTGGGCAGAGTGCCCAAGCCCAACCTAAGAAAGTTGTCTGGTAACATGAGGGAAGTCTACGCCCAGCTCCGTCAGAGTTTGCAAGCAAAAGCTAACACCAAACACAAAGAACATTCTAAGACCAGATCCAAATGAACGTGGAAGCACACAGGAAATATGTATGCGAACTGGATAATGAATGAGGTCAAGGACCATTACAAGTTATTGCTAATCACATGGCTCCTTGAAAACCCCATTCTCCTCACCGCTCCCCCCCCCCCGACCATTATATATTTTTAACTTTTTCATTGTGAATTATGTGAAGGTTTGTGGACCAGATCATCGCCTTTTATTCAACAATGCATACACCTCTTGTTTCAATCCACCCATTGCACCCCCTGAATGGACCCACTTCTTCCTCCCTGCGTGTGTGTGTCCACTCCTCCTTTCCTAAGCCTCTGAACTCTGTCCTTGGGTAAATGCTGCCCTGCTGGTCTCAGCCTCACATGGAGGGGAGCTCCGTTTCAGAGGGTAGTGAGGGGCCATAGTCTTGCAGGCTCCACCAATCTCCATCTGAGCAGTAAGGCTGGTCTCCTGGGGTTTTGAGCTCTGTTCCACATTTTCTTCCCACGCCAACCGGGACTGACTAAGACGATCCTTTCAGAGCCATTGGTAGTGGTAGCCAGACACCACCTAGTCCCTCTGGTCTCAGGGCTGTGGAGACTAAGGCTTGCAGGATCCATTAGACAAATTGTTCCGCCTGTCTTTCCATCTCATCATGCTTCTTTCCTCTTACTCCCACACCTGTTCAGCCCACATGCCTCTTAATTATCTACTCATATTTCCCCACGAAAACTCCATTTGTGAATAAGACTTCTGGTTCTACTTGGGATCCAGGACTGTGGGCACTGTTCAGAAACTTCCAATAGCTGAATCAAAAAGGCAAAAAAAAAAGACAAACCATCCGACAGGTAGGGGTGACAGGGAGAATCTGCAGCTCACCTGGAAATGTCTGCTCTGTAAACCCTCACCAAATTCACAATTCTATCACACAACCAACTCCCCCAAAAGTGTGCTCTCTTCTAGATCAGCACTACGGAAGTGACATATAATGTGCACTACAAAGGCCTCAGAGATAACTTTTAATATTCCTAGTTGCTACATTCAAAAAAGGTAAAACCAAACCAGTGAAATTAATTATAATAAATACTTTATTCAATCCAACATTTACAGTTTTAAAGGATCTATCTTAAAGTATAATGCTGTCTGTCTGTAAGAGGGAAACATCCACTTGCCTATAGGGAAAACAAGTTAATATGACTATTCTCAATTTTCCGTACCAATCACTAAAACTAATGATGAAGAAACAGAAGAATTCTACAGTCTGAAGCTGACCAATCATGAAATCAAGGTGCACTGATAATTACTGGTGATTGAAATGCAAACATTGGAAACAAAGAGGACAGATCAGATTCAAGACCCAGACTCTCTGCTATCGAGCCCATGCCGCATCACAGTGACCCTCACAGGGCAGAGCAGAACTGCCCCCGTGGGTTTTCAAGACTGTAACTCTTTATGGGAGTGTCAAGCCCCATCAGTAGTGGGAAAATATGACTCTAGTGATAGGAATTAAGCTGGAGAGTCACATGGTAGAATTTGCAGGACCGATAATGTATTCATTGCAGATACCCTTTTTCAGCAATAAAAACAGTGACGATCCACATGGCCCTTGCCAGATGGAATACACAGGAATCTAAT